AGACCCAGGACCTCGAACAGGACCACGACCTGCTGCAGACCCAAGACCTTCAGCCCGACCACGAACTACTGCAGACTCTGGATCAGTGGAACCAGGAGCTGCTGGAAAATCTGGTAAATACAAACTAGAAACAACATTCAACCCCTTCGTCTATCGACTGTTGACTGTGTTGCATAACGGACTCTCCTGGTTGAACCACATCGTCCTGCTTTGTGCCAACGCCGTTGTTCTGTCTCCCCAGCGAAGCCCCGCCCCTCCAAGCTTGACAGCCAACCGCAGCCGAGCCGACCTTTGACATCAGCGCCTGATGGACAGCAGCCGTCGGCCGATGAGGTGAGCCAGATTGGAGTTACGACCTTGAGTTAGTTCCTCCGCTGCAGCTGTGTCTCTGTAAAATACACCTTCATTTAAACTACAGTAACAGTGTCGCCTCTGTTCCAGGTCCAGCATGCTCTGCGGTGGCGGGCGGGGCTGAGGTCTGGAGGTCGAAGGTCAGGAAGTCAGCAGTCGGAGTACCACAGACAGTTCAGCTGGAAGAAACCTCAAGCTGCTGCTTCCCCAATGCTGACTGCAGAACAGGTTTCTACTCAGTACAACCACAGATTGATAAATACCACCAGCGTCATACAGGACGGAGAGTCCAGTTACTACAAGATGTTTTATGATGTGTTTGGATGAATCTTTCTTTATGAGGAAGAACATGCACCCAAACATTGACCTCGAGGATAGACTCAGTGAGTGTTGGTGAGAAACGTGAACATTTCTTTGTTTATAAGAAACCTCCTCGGGGCAGCTTTAAGTGGGTCAGAGGGATTGTTTCTTTGTCGGCGTCGTTCGTCTCTTCCCGCTATCGGTTGCATTCATCCAGCGCGTCACTGTGGGCGGCTGACTCGGCTCCGTGCCGCGGTAATCCCTGACCTCATGTTACATTAAAGTTCACCGGCGTCAGATCAGATAGAAACGATATCGGAGTCGGTATCAGGACACAAAAAGTCACATCGGTGCTTCTCTAGTGCTGTTAACAGTTCTGTACTGTACACGCTATCAGCTGCATGGTGATAAATCATTACACTACAATGCAGTGATACTGAATATATCTGAGAATTACTGTTTGTATATATTCTGCAGTTCAGCTGTGTGTCCACTAGGTGGCGGTAGACTGTTTTCTTGCTGGTTTAACTGAAGAACAACTGATGAGTTTACTGGTTGTTAACTTATTGATTTATCTGCTGATTGTATTGACGAGCTGTAAAAGTGCTTTAATGGGTCATTCCATTAGTCACCTCATTGTTATTTGATGTTATTGATTAGTGACTGACTGCTGACATTTGACCCCCCCCGTCCCTGCAGCTGCTCCACTCAAGCAGCAGATCTGTGCCCCCCTTTAAGACGAACCCCGTTCCCGTGGAGACGGAGTATCGGCGCAGCTTCCAGGGTCTGGCCCCGCCCTCAGAGCCCCGCCTTCGGAAACACCTGGAACATCAGAGGGTCCCGCTGTTCCACGCATACATGGTACACACACACACACACACACACACACACACACACACACACACACACACACACACACACACACACACACACACACACACACACACACACACACACACACACACACACACACACACACAGAGGTACTTTCTTTCCTGTCATACAAATACAGGATGCTGACTAATATACTGAACCTCACTGTGATTGAAGTCTGTTGTATTCTGGGTAAAAATCTGTTCTTTAAAGTTACTTTAAAGCTTCAGTAGGTAACTTTTATAAAAATAACTTTCAACATGAGACAGATAATATGAGATAAAATCAGGTTGCTCTGGTTTCTGTTCTACTATCAGGATAAAAGTGAAAGTTTCAGCAAATATGACATAAAGTTATTTTTATAAAAGTTACCTGCTGCAGCTTTAAAGTCTCAACTTCAAATCAAATTCAAAATATCTATGCATTAATCAATTACTTTTATTTGCATCACGTCTAATAAGAAATCTCAGTTCTGACTGGCTGGCAGGTGTAGATTAACTTTAGTAACCAGACACCTGAACGCTGACTGAATGTGTTAAACTGAAGGTAAGAACAGCAACAGTAACAGTCTTTACATAAACAATAGAGAGCCGAAGTGAAACTGGTTCCAAAACCTCGTTCAGACATTAAAGACCTGAAGCCTCAACAATGTGTCGTGTTTAATTCAGAGAGTTAATTTCTCCACAGATTGATCGTTTTAATCTTTTCAGTTTACAAAGCGGTTTGACAGACTAACATGATTGCCGTCATACACAAAATATAACTAAATATACAAATAAAGAATACAACAATAAGAGCAGAATAGAAGCCATGAAAATATAAAATAAAATAAAATAGAATAAAGTAAAAAGAAATCCTGAAGGCAAAAGTACACTCACCTTTAGATTTAGATACCACCAGAAACCTTCTACAGTATCGGACCTTTAAAGAGTTTTATAATGAGATTCTTCCTCTTGTTAATCACTTGTGGCGCCGTAGAGAAATCTGTAAATATATATGAGTGACAGCGTAGTGCTTCTGCTGCTGGAGAAACTACAGTGGCACAAATAATCCACAAATAAGGCACAAATAATCCACAAATAAGGCACAAATAATCCACAAATAAGGCACAAATAAGGCACAAATAATCCACAAATAAGGCACAAATAACCACAAATAAGGCACAAATAATCCACAAATAATCCACAAATAAGGCACAAATACGGCACTAGTAAGGCATAAATAAGGCACAAATAAGGCACTAATAATTCACTAATAAGGCACAAATAAGGCACTAATAATTCACTAATAAGGCACTAATAAAGTACAAATAAGGCACTAATAAGCCACTAATAATTCACTAATAAGGCACAAATAAGGCACAAATAAGGCACTAATAAGGCACTAATAAGGCCACAAGTAAGCCACTAATAAGGCCACAAATAAGACACTAATAAGGCACTTATAAGGCACAAATAGGGCCCCAAATAAGGCACTAATAAGGCCACAAATAAGGCACTAATAAGGCACAAATAAGGCACTATCTATGTTGGGTTTGTCCTTTCTGGGCCTGGGGTGTCTGTAAATAAAAACGACTCATTCTAAGGTTCAATAATTCTTATGTTCAGGTGATTATACACTAATAAAAACACACCTGTGAACATTACATCACATTTATAGATAGAATAGATTCTCCTTTCAGTCCTGTTTTCATCTTCAGGCAAATAAAAAAAGGAGGGAGGAGTCAGAGAAGAAGCTCCACCCCAGACCTGATGATGCCACGCCCCCTCCTCCTCCTCAGGTGCAGAGAGGACACAGGTGTGTTTCTGTGTGTGTGTGTGTGTGCTTGTCATTGTGTATCTGTGAATTCCTTACGTTTATGACGTCGTCTGTCTGTCTGACAGGATGTTGACAGAGTATCAGTCCAGCTTTCGTTCTCCTCTCTACAGGATCCTGGAGGAAGGCGGAGCCCCGGACGGCGAGGCCCTTCAGGTCAGGGTTCAGTCTCATGTAGCGTCAGATGGGAAGTTAGATATCAGCACAACAGAGGATTGGAATTCATTTGATGTTGTACCATGTTGTGCCCTGCATTCTGGTGGTTTGTGGGGAGGCCTACTGGAGATGGACAATATTGATTACGTTCTGAGAAGCAGACATAGCTGAAGGTCCACCCTCAGGACATTCTGGATTAAATAGATGTGATTTCCTGCATTCTAGTGGATTTTTGGGTGGTCTGCTAAAGATGTGCAATACCTGAACTTATTCTGATTCATGTTCGGCATCATGACTTGTAGGGCCTTCTAGACTTGAGCTGAACATTCAACCAGAAAACTATTGTTGTGCCTAAATGACTGCCTGTATCACAATAAAGCCTTATTCATAGACCAGTGTTTAAGATTGGACCTAGGTACCTGTAGGTTGATAACTGAAACCTAACCTATGTTGTGAATAAGCCTCCCACACAAACAAACAATGAGCTGATATTTTGAGCATGCAGTATACCACGAGGTGAACAAGGTGCTCTCCTGCTGCTTTCACCACGCACACACAAAGAGTTTAAAGTTTAAGAGAGCGAGTACTCAATTGGACGACATTTCATTGTTACATACTCTCAGCTCAGATTCTCACCAGACTTCTCGATGTAGTTTCTCCCGCTGTCTTTCTCGGTAGAGCGCCATCTACCGTAGGGGAGTTTAAAAAGGAACGAACGAGTCTCGGCCCAAGATCGGATTTTTTTTGCGTGAGAAATTGGATGTGTGGCGTGAGTGCGTGTGAAAACCGTGTGAAAACCGTATGTCACACGGCGAAAGCGTGAGAGTTGGCAGCTCTGCGTTTATTCGGGTGTTTCCTGTACTTGTCAGCCGTCTGTACATCAGCCTTTGAAATCAGGCTGATTTGTTGCCAATATTTCAGTAATTTCTTGTGTAAATCATCACATTCACTGAAGGTTTGACCACTTTTGTGGACTCAAATTAAACACTGCATCCCTCTGTCCACCTGCACATCGGAACAGTTGATCTGACTGACCTGAAACAGGTCCTGGATCAGTTTCTGTGAGGTTGTAGTAGTCAGGGGATTTGCGCAATGCCCGTCTGGTAGCTAAACTGTGTGTACGTTTGTTGCGGATGGAAAAACAGAGTGCTGAGTGTTAGCAGTGAAACCACAGAGGTTCATTTCAGGGAAACAACTCACTGTTAGTCACACACACACATACACACACATACACACACACATACACACACACACACATACATACACACACACACATACATACACACACACACATACACATACACACACACATACACACACACACACACACACACACACACACACACACACACACACACACACACAGGTAGGTTCCCACCAGTCTTGTGGAAAGTGTCGCTGAGGGAGGGCGGCAGCTGATGTTGCAAGATGAAGCACTTTTAGACTTTCTTTGTATGAAATCTTCTGAATTTTAGCTGACATCAGTTCGGCTGAAAAAAACCCAT